ACAAAAAATGCCTTGTATAACTTAAAAAATAGCAGCATCAGACGATAAACTAAAAATATACGTTGCATTCTTGTGCCTCTCCGTCGCACAGTAAAATATACCTACCACGCCTGCCTCCCTGTTGCTCAATACCTGTCACTTACTCGGCAGTAGCTTGAGATAGTTTCCAAAGAGTGGGGTAAAGAAAAACTCCAAACTGTAGGTACTGTAGTTTATTTATAAATTATAATAATAATAATCTGATAACATTTATTGATAACGAGAGATATTTCCTTTTCTTTTTCTCATTTGTTACCCATAAGGCATCTGCAGTTCTTTTTGATATTTTCACTGTATAAAGTCACAAAAATTGTGAAAAGAAAAAAACAAAATCTACGAACAGCACACTCAGGTCAACCCAATACGAGCGTTTGACAACGTTTGGCGGGCTCAGATCGCTCAGAGAGTGGTGAGCGGAATTGGTCAAGTAGGTAAGCTGTTTAGTGCCCTAAACTCTACTCTTAAAATATTCGGTTTTCAGAGGTTTTTGGTATTAGATGTTCGGATATGGGATTGTCAACCAGTACTAATTTATATCGGTATTTTATTTGAGTTTCTTCTTGGACAAAATCAGAACGCATATTTTTTAAATTATTTCTCAAATTAAAATTTTGTTTGGGACCTAATACCTACCAGTTCTTGTGCAAAAGGCCATTATCAAAAGTCGGTTTATATATGAAATAAAATTTTAAAAACAAATTCTATCTCCAGCAAAGAAAAATAGACGAATTATAACTTGCAAATATGGTCATAATTTCTCTCCCTACTATACGCTGTTTCTCATCTTCATCAATGAGGTACCTGAGTTCTCAACTAGGTATTTATACAGATGACAGCATCATTTACTCCTATCTCAGTAGCAAATCCGACAGATCTGACAATGTAAAACTGGCAGCTGCGCCCAGAAAGGACCCCCCAATCAATTGTTAACCGAGGCAAGAAATGGCTTCTTAATTTTAATGTTACCAAAAGAAAACCTTTCATTTAACCACAACAGAGAACATTTTCTTCCTGCCTTCATGGCTGATGCTAAACTCGTGGAGAGCAACACACTACACTTTCTTGGCCTCATGGTTCCCACAGACATGAAGTGGAGTGACTTTATCAAATCAATAGCTGCATCTACTGCAAGGAAAGTTGTGTCACTGTGTCGTGAAAGAAAATTTTTCTCGTCAGAATCCATCTTGCACATATACAAATCTACCACTCGCCCGGACATTGAACACTGTTATCATATCTGTGTCTAGTGTTCATGTTGAGATTCTTGACAAAATCCAAAGAAGGATCTACAATCTAATCGATCCTGACCTAGCATTTCGACTTCAGTCATTTTCTCACCGACGTGATGTGGCTTCCCTCTATCTTTTCTACAAATATTTTCATGGCAACTGCCCTGACGAGCTTTTTCGCTGGTTTTCCGACTACATGAATTTATGCGTGCTACTAGATTGGCAATTAGGTCCCACCATTTTACTGTTGAAATAACTAAATACGACCGCCGCTTCTACTCTAACAGTTTCTTTTCTTGCACTTCTAGTCAGTGGAACTCCCTTCCGATGTCTTGCTTCCCTGATAACTACATGTTCAAAAAATTAAATAAATCGCCATCTTCTGTCTTGTATATTGTTCTTTTTTTGTCCTTTCCTCAATCCTCCTTTCTCTCATTCTTCTTTTTTTACTCTGATTCCTTGTAATCCTCTGCGTGCTAGTGGCATTACCACTTCGCTTGTGGTGATAAGATTAAGAATAAAAATGTATGTTGAGTACAAATTGTACCCCCCCCCGCACGAGAACCACCTGACACCAGGGAATCGCTCTTTAGTTCTCCTGAAAGATCAAACCGTGAGCTGAGGTTTCCAGTTGAGCGAATTGTTGGCCAAATGAATGATCGTGTAGAGATAATAAAACGGGCTTGACAAGCATCGTTGGCGAAGGTCAGAAGCGATCAAAAATCTCCTTCGTACAGCTCACGAGAGTCGAATTAAACCGTGCTTCTCCCACACACTGTCTGTCTGTCTGTTTGTCTGTCTTTGTCCTGATGACCGAATATCAGTGTTTCATTAATTTAGGCCAAATTCGTATAATTTTTTTCTTATGCATCACTAGTTGCATCTTAGATAAGTAAATCTTTTGTTCGTATAGAATATTTTTTCTTATCATATTTTGTATCTGGATTTAGCTCCCTGTAATAATATTTATGATTATCGGTAGAGTTAAAGAAACATGAGGTAGCAATGGATATATATATATATATATATATATATATATATATATATATATATATATATGTGTGTGTGTGTGTGTGTGTATGTGTGCGGTACTTATTGTGGATTGCAAAAGCGTGAAACCTAAGTTTACAAATTCACATCCATACAACTAAGTGCATATATATATATATATATATATATATATATATATATATATATATATACACTGCGTGCCAAATTATTATCGAGATAACTTTTTTCTAATATTTCAAAAACTGTCCAATCAATTCCAATCAATTCACACGAAATTTTCACACAATGTTGGCAACACTGATCTGCGTAATCACTGAAATTTTCGTACTGATCTGCGCAATGTAAACAGCTCATTCGCTTGCTTAAACCCAACGTTGATTCTGATTCCGCAGAACTGGGTTGGGTGTGAAAAAGTATTTGTTGTTAACATTCTTTTTTCATTCTGTTTTTCAATTTACGGGTCGTTTTCTAAAGCTGATCGTTTTGTGTTCATTTTGTTTAGTTCTTTTTTCGTAACAGATTTAATGTTTAGTATAAAGCTTAGAAAAAATTCGCAGTGTGAGATAGGCAAGAAGTAAGGCATGTAGCAACATCGGCACGGCAAATATTTTAAGTCAAGTGATAGCGATTGCTGTATGAGTCGTACGATTTTTGAATCAAGCACGGGCAACGCCGGTCCATGCTGCTAGTATATATATATATATATATATATATATATATATGAGAGAAAAATTTTTACCTTCCCTCAACATGGCTGATGCTAACCACCAGGAGAGTGATTCATTGCGCCTTCTCGGACTAACTTTTTCCGCTAACATGAAATGGAAAGATTATATTGAATTAAATGCTAAGTTCTTTTGCTAATAAAGTTGGTTGCCTCTGTTGTGCTAGACAATTTTTCTCGACAGGATTAATTTTACATATTTACAAGTCTACCATATGTCCTTGTTTTGAATACCACTACCATATCTGGTCTGTTCATCTGTTATATATTGTTTTTCAATGTTATTCGCCATGACCTGGTATCTCGGCTTCAGTTCTTTCCCACATTTGTAACAAAGCTTCCCTGTACCTTTTCTATAAATACTTTCACCGTACTTGTTCTGATGAGCTTTCCGCTAATGCACCTAGTCTTTATAAATTAATGTTCTCTCTCTTTAATACTATTCGCCTTTTCCTCATATTCTCTAACACTCAGTAACCCCTTGCGTTTTAGTGACTTGCTTGGTTAAATGATTATATATATATATATATATAGTGATACCTCGGCGTTTCGAGTTAACTCATTTTCAAAGATACGTCGGTTTTTCTTAAATGTGAAAATAAACTCGGTTGAGTTTACGTCGCCCATTAAAAATATTAGAATCTTCAAATCACTAAAATAACAATAAACACGTATGAAATCATATTTAAATAAATTTAAAAATAAAAGTATCTGTACTATATATATATATATATATATATATATATATATATATATATATATATATATATATATATATATATGTAAGTATATGATTGGTGTATACGGAATAAATACCAATAACCAACAATTACTATTCTTAAAAGAGTGTTCAAAACAGAGTAGGGCGAATATAATTATTTATTTAAAAATTATAACATCAAGTGAGGATGTTGAATGTAGCAATCTACATTCAACATCATCACTTGATAAGACACCAGAGGTGTTGAAGCAAAATGGCTATTTTGTAGTGATTTTTATAACATATGTTATGTTATATATATATATATCATAAATAAAATTATCTGTACTATATATATATATATATATATATATAAATCTTTTTTTCGACCTATGTCGTGACCCCAGGAACCAATTAACGACGTAGGATGGGGTATACCTGCACACACACACACACACACACACACACATATATATATATATATATATATATATATATATATATATATATAATGTATAATGATAATAAGAAGACTTTAATTATCCATTTCGTTTATAATTTTTTTATTTCGTAAACACTGAGATGTTCAGCTCATCAGAACGAAATGTTACCGGCAAAATAAAAATCCTAAAACGAAATAGATAAGTAAAGTCTCCATCTTCTTATTATGATTATAATGCTCTGTAGTCTACATTGAGCTCTCCCTGGATTTATATCCTCCTCAGAATGATCCCTTCCAATCACAAACTGGTAAAACGTATATATATATATATATATATATATATATATATATATATAAAGTGTATTTACGCAGAAAGATGTCTTTTAAACATGTCAACAAAGTTCATTTTTTATTAGGTTTTCCAGTTTTCCGAATTAGTCGTTTTATTAGCGGGATCTACCTCATCTATGCGTCGCATCCCTTTAGAACGTGGCTGATCATAGATCTACATATCGCTGTTCATCAGAATTTGACTGATAAGTTTTGTTATATGGCTCCTCAGGTTCATTGTGCGATGGAGTTCACATTCGTTTGCACCTGGCTTCTTAGGCAGTGCCATCGAAATGTATCTAATTAAGTCTTCCGGTATATCACCACTGTTGAATAATTCATTTGGTATGTCCGTAAACTTCTCATTGCCTAAATCATCTAAGGCTGCTAGTAAAGGTTGAATAAGTTGAATAAGTTCGGTGAGAAGACAAGGATATGTCTTCTCACCGGACTTAATAAACTTATCCTTTCCTTACGCTCATTTGTATTTTTATGTATTTACTGAATTTATTCTCTATGCATCTTTGCTGAAACACCGGTTTTTGTATGATCACCGAAGTTAAGCAACACCGTGCCTGGCCAGTACTTAGATGAGTGACGCTTAGGAATATTAGGTATTGTAAGTCTTGATGTGCGGTTGGTGTACGAAGTAACGGCTCGGAAATGGAAATTGGAGAGCCGAGTTCCAATTCCAGTCAGGTTCGTTATATTCACTTACGCGCACTCTTGGGAAAGGTATGAATAGATGCATTCTCCCCCCAGTTATGGGTTAATTAGTAGAACTTGTACCAGTAAATGATTTTTAGTTCCTAAAATAGTCATACTACCTAAAAATACAGGGTTATTAAAAAAAAGAATGAACTGATATCATGACGCATTGATTCAATTCTCAAGTATTGCCATAGAATGAGTCAATGGTGACCCCGACGTGATTTATATTTTTCAACTCCTGCTAACAGACATAAGACGATATATATGTACAAACACAATTTTTTACACGCACTTCCCAAACGAGAGCCAGTCAAGAAAAACTCTTTTGCCTATCCTAATACGCACGCCGTACACTATTAACCAAAAAAACTTTTCTACAGCAACAAAATTTGTGATTAGACCTGATGAAAGTGCAAAATCACAATTTTAATTCACTACAACATGTCTGTACAAAATACAATTTCTCCAGCGCGGCAAATAGAATTTTTTCTACAACACGTGGAAATCATAGAAGCTCGAATCGAAACTACAACTGCAATTACTACTATGACACGAGCCTTACAACACTCTTTCTCCCCACTGGTCTATATTTGCTTGACCTTTTCTTTCTCTCAGCGACGTTTGACCCAATTTCACCCGGCTTACCAAACGGAAAACGCCACCCCATTTTCAACTAATTAACACTCTCTTCTTCTGGACTGAAATAGATAAAGTGTGAACGCCATCTCAAAAGGCGACTCACTGTCCTTTATCTTCATTCTGCAACAGTGCATCTCGAACAAACTAAGAATTTGCAAGTACGATATTCAGTCGACAATAATAATAAATTCTCTCAAACATGCATTCGACCCTCGGTAGAATTTCTACATCATCTCAACTTTGCCGCAACGCTGCTTCTATTAAATTTTGTGCGCTAACTTTATCCACGCATATCAAACAAAGAAGCTCGTTTTCAAACAAAACTACGATCGGCAAACTGTGTGACGGCACAAGAAAGCCAATTCAACGTGAAGCATTGGAAAAAGAAAAATTTTGATAGCAAACACGGAACACTACTGACATTTCTTCCAGGATGTGCTCCGACTCTGACCCACTAGAGAAAAATATACAGCACCCTGATGACAGCACAAGTACATTTCGTCGAATCACTCATCTCAACCACACTTCCGACAACTTTTCAGTTCACAAGGACCATATTCAAAACTTCCATGAACTTTTTACATATTAAAAGTTTTTACATATTAAAAGTTTTCGTTCCTAGAACTTTCAATCTGAGGTGGGGGTATTGTCGGAGTTAGCTCCTCCTTAATTCCCAAATTGTCACTAAGGGTCATTCTCCCTATACTATAAATACTGCGCGACCTCTTGCCTCGTTCTCTTTCCTTCAGGTTTTTCACGCATCTCACGTGGAGGTGAGGTAAATCCTCTTTTTCATTTCTTCATTTCAGTAAATACAATGTAGGCTCTCTTAGAAATCCGCGTCTTCCCATTTGTGGGAGACGCCATGAACATTATACACACATACATGTACGTACGAACATTCACCAAAATGCAAACATTCACCAAATAACACACACACACACACACACACACACACACACACACACACACACACACAAATATTATTGTGTTTTGTTTAATACATATATTTGTTAATATATATATCGGTCTTGTTTGTCTTTTTCATCTTCAGTTGAACACAACTAGAGTCCGCCATTTTCTCGTATCTGGATCTTCATCTAACAGGAAAAAATAAACGCACGTGCTTTCTTTTCATCTTCACCCCTGTTCCACGACAGATTAGTGACCATATGAAAGAAGAGTTTTCTAAGTTTTGAATGTCTGCCACAGAGACGCTGTAGTCGCGGCGTATCTCCGGTAACGTTCAGCAGAAGGCGTTCCGCGTTCTCGAATTCGTGAAAACAAATACGATTGTCACGGTGCAGCGTGCTTTTCAAAGGCTTTTCGATATTAATCCTCCCTTTCTTAACAATATTCACGGTGGTTGAAAAAGTTTCAAGAGAGTGGGTGACTGTATAAGGAAAAAAGTCCAGGACGACTACGAGTTTCGGAGTGACGAGAATCCGTGCTGTGTTTGAAGGGAGTTCACGGAAGTCCTCAAATCGAGATAGTCGTGAGCTTGCGATCTCTCATTCCAGTATCTGGCGTGTGCTAAGAAGACGTCTACATTTGAAAACTTACAGACTACGCCTCGTTCAGGCACTTACCAAGACCTTGCTCTTTGCGCTTAGCCTGCAAGATCCCCAAACCTCACCGGATACCGACTAACCCCGATTACCTTAAACACGGAACAACAACAACGATCAACTCAGTAGATTGTGATATGTTGATAGGCGTCTGGGAGGAATTCTTTTATCGCATTGATGTTGCCGGTGCCGCAGGTGGTGGCCATATTGAACACTTGTAAGACAGGAAATAAAAGTTGATTTTGAGTAGAATACTTTTGACTTGGCTGGAGTTTTCTGTTTTTTTCCTTATTAAAATATTGCGTAATGAAATCGGTCCATTCTTTTTTAATAACCCTGTATTTGCTAGCTTTAAGCTAGCAAATACAGGGTTATTAAGCTACGGTTGCTAAGCCGTAAAAATAAATCAATCTATCAATCAAATGTTTTTGCATAATCTATAAAACTTAGTTATACATCCTTTTGCATTTCTATTGCTCTTTCTAATATTATTCTGAGTATAAATATTGCATTTCTTGTTGCAATGGTTTTAACGAACCAGCACTATTCTTGTTCTATTTCCGTCTAACACAGGAGTTCTGAACCATTTTTTTTGTGTCGTTGCCCTCTGTCACATGTAAACATTTTCCACCGATTATCTGTATAGTAAATATTCAAAACCATACCAAAATTGTTTGATAAAAGTTTTTTTACTGGTTCATAAACTGACTTTATGATGCAGTAAAAAATACCAAAGGGAGGTAACAAATGACGCTGACGTATGTGACGTTTGCTACTGTTTCTACTAACGTATTAAAGAACAAACGAAAAGCAAACATCATCATTGAAAACTACACGCACACACACACACACACATATATATATATATATATATATATATTGTGTGCATTTAGGCAGCATTTTTTCATTCATACATGTTTCATTAAATAATATTGACAAGTGTTGTCTATTTATTTTATGTAAATTCTTTTCATAATAACTGATAAGCTTAATAACATTATCATTTAACGAAGAAAGAAAATCACAATACTGATCCATATTTTTAATCCAATCTAAGCTGGCTTACACACACACACACACACACACATATATATATATATATATATATATATATATATATATATATATATATATATATAATTTAGTTTTATGGTCAAAGTTAGTTGTATGGTTAGGGTTAGCGTTGCAAGTGTTGATAAAAATATAAAGAATATATACCACTAGCAACAAATAAGAATTCAGCAAATATTTTTTGTCTTTCTTGGTCTTCTCTTATCTGATTTATATCCGAAAAAAATGTTATTCTGTCTGAAGAACTATTTGAATATTAATGACCCTTCTCAAAACTATGGAAAAATGCCAAAATATTCGTTGTTTGCAAGGATATTCATATCTTATCGAGGAATGTTGCTCATTTATTCCCAATCAGTTTTCGTTTTTTTTTTTTTTTTTTTTAATACACCTTATTTCCATATCTCTTAAATATTTTTTGGGAGTAACATATGTTGAAATACCTTTTTAATATTCAAAATACTATATCGTCAACCAATGTTTCAAATCGCCCATTTCTGTTCAGATGTTCATCGCCCACCCAGCAGTTGAAATCGCGTACCGGTTGGTGATATCACAGAGGTTGGGAACCCCAGGCCTAACACCTTAAACTCTGACAGATCCTCCCAAATTGGAAAGTAAGCATGCATTTTCCTAATTAGTTGTTATTATCTCAGATTTTATTTGCTACCACACAACACTTTATACCCGCCTACTCGCATCCCGTTTTAATTTTTAGCCTATTTATTTTTAAATCTCTCTGTAGATGCTCCTTTGTGTATATTAAATCGATAGCTTAATCGTGTGACTAAAGTAATCAATGCGCGTGTAGGCAGTTCACATGGATCTTGCATCGGATCATAGTAAAGTGAACTTGACCTCTGACATTTAATCGCATTATTTCGTACAACAATTACTGGCGTTGTTTACAAGGATTCACAAGAATGTTACAGTGACCGTCATATTACAACTGAATGGAACCACAGAAGCACGAGAATAATTTGGCTGCCATCAGACCAGCGCACGCAGCAGAGTGAATTATTTTAAATACATATATTTATATAATATATATATATATATATATATATATATATATTTATTTAAAAATATGATTCCAACACACTACATAAGAGGTCTCATGTTTCAAATCATCTTTCCTATTTTCTATATATTTTCACACACACACACACAGACATATATATATATATATATATATATATATATATATATGAGTGTGTGTGTGTGCACGCGCATGCGTGTGTATATATATATATATATATATATATAGTTTTAAGATATGCTATACTTATGGGTGTACGCAGTAGAGTGAATTATTTATATATATCTATATCTATATCTATCTATCTATATATATAGTTTCAAGATATGCTACATCCATGGCCGTACGCAGCAGAGCGAATTATTTTAAATATATATATATATATATATATATATATATATATATATATATATATATATAGGAGAGAGAGAGAGAGAGAGAGAGAGAGAGAGAGAGATTTAAGATATGCTATATTTATGGGCGTACGCATCAGAGTGAATTATTTTAATATATATATATATATTATCTCTCTATATATATATATATATATATATATATATATATATATTTTCAAGATATGGTATATTTATAGGCG